AAATAACAACACTAATGCTCAGTGGACTACTGCATGTGATGTTAGCAAGTGAGAATCAGTCTAGGTGGTAGGTTAGAGCTGAAAATCAACGGAACTGGATGAATCGGGCTTGAAGATATTTTTAAGTGCAGGACACTTTAGCAGTTGATCACAAAAAGAATTAATGATGAACCAAGGTTTACATTATATTACAGAATATCGACCTATGTATCTCTTTCATAACATTCTCACCTTTTTCCGTCAGAGAAACCACCCTGGAAACGTGTTTTGGTCGTCGTAATTCCAAGTCCTCATGGAATCGATTCACTCACTACCCGATGGATCACACTATAGAGAATAGATTGACAAAACCCCAAAGGCTGGCAGACTATCAGTTCAGAGTGTTCGCAAATCATTCGAACCCGCATACAGCGATTTGGGCTGAAGGGTGGGGTTGGGGGGGGGGGGGGGGNAGGAGAACGAAAAAGGACTTGAGGACACCGCCCGTGACCGGCCTCGTCGGAACTTAATGAGTCAGGTGATTTTGTACGAAATCGGTGTGTTTTCACAACGTGCATCACTTTAGAGATATTGTATAGATGTATTATGTATTACTGTTCCACGAGAGGTTTTGCCTATACTCAGCTAAATCAGACAATAGAGTCAGTTTTAAATGAGAATTGTTTTCATTTCATTGAAAAGTAACCCGTATCACTATGAATAAAATTCACGTAATAATTATGACGATAGTGATAATACCTGACTATGGTTTGTCTAACTTTTAGGTGTAACTGTTATTGAATTTGTAGGCTCGAACCCCTCACTATCACAGAACATTGAAGATAAACAAATTCCCTGTGGTAAGACTAAAACCATCCAATCCCATAGTTCTCTCCATAAGGTCTCAGAGTTTAGATTGCTGGCTTTTAGTAAGTGAAAGAAACAATTCCTTGATTCAGTAAAGAACTTGCGGATTTATCACTCAAGTACTGGAAGGTGACAATGCATAATCTTCCTGGGGCTGTACATGTTCAAAAAGTAGTTTGTACGACAAGAAAACTGTTTTTTTTCGTGAAAAGATTGGGAACAGTTTTGTTAACCGACAATTTAATTATCAGTAACGGTATATACATCTCATCTTCTCCATTAACTATACTTCTCACTTATCTTTTCTCCTGGTTTTCTGCAAAAACGGCTACAGATTTCTTGTCAGATCCGTGGAATAATTTTTTGTACAAACAGTGGTGTTTCTAGAGACGCATCTTCCGCTTGCTTCTAAGCAGTCTTCCACAAAAATGCACGTAAGAGCATTTATCATCTGTTGCACAATGATCCAAACAAAGCCTTGTCCATATCGAATACGCAATTTAGTTGTACTGTTGCGCACGGTTATTCGGCACAATTACGTCTTACCTGATCCATCACGTCCACTTTGTTGTTCAAAAAATGCACTACCTGTGACTTGAAAAATTTTCTNTTTTCTACGCCATCAATGACCTGTCTTGCTCGTATACTAACCCTACTAGTTCTTTTATTATTGGTTTACCCTGTGACCGCTGTGATGATGTAATCCCTGAATGAATTAGTGTTTCACTCTAATTAGCGTGATGTCACAGGAAGGCTTGTTCGACGGGACTTGATGTAGACACAAAATAATTTGGCCTTGGTTATCAGCTGTTCGGTTTCGATGTGACCTGGTTTTGCTTTGGTAGTCCATCGGTTTTAAACGTATTTAATTGAATGGGAGATCCTCATGACTGTTCTTTTATTAGAGTGAACATACAGAAGTGAGGAGTCATTGAATCAGTGAGATGGAGGTATACTGAGAACAATGATTCTGGTCACTTTATTTGTTATTTTGGGCCCAAACAGCTGTCCTTCTTGAAATCAGTCAGTTACTTTATTGCTGTTTAGTGAACCATCCGATCTGGATTGGGATTCGGATAATGAGGCAATGCCAACACTAGCAACCGCATCGTTGTGTGCAAAGATGTCTATGCTTGTCGTTTATCACGAAGGAGCTAATTGTACTCGTTGTCTCTGCTAGTTTAAATTTCACAAAGAAGTGGTACCACTCAGTGGACTATCTCCTCCTTGAGATCGAGAGATGGGTAAACAAGATTGTTTTCGGTGCTTCATCGATTGACTGCATGCAAAACATTTTGCGGTTAATTAACAGTGGAATAAAAAGATTAAGGTTACATGTTTATGATAATTGCCATACGTGGAATGTCTATGTGAGCTTCTTTAGGGTTTAGTGAACAAGTAATGTGTCAATGCGTCAATTACAAGTGTGAGGCCTAGCCTACCCCCAAACTGCTTTCTCCAGTCTGTGAATGGCGGTCATGGAGGGGGATAACGTTTGACGGAATTCGCCACAGTTGGTGACATTCAATTCAGTTTTATTGACCGTACATGAAAGGATGTGAGCTCCCGCACACATGGGATGCTTTATGACTGCCATACCTCCTCCAGGTCCTGCACAAGTACTGGATGGAGCCAGTCAGTGAAGCACAATCAAGTGCTAACTGATGTTTGAATAATTGGCCAATCGGCACTTTTCACTGAATTTGTTCCGTGTTACGAGAAAGGTTTTGAGTGAGATCAGAAAGGTTCATCACTGATGACCTCACCTTGCTCTCACTTAGCACTGATAAACTGAGAAAAATCAGATCTTTTTATTGATTTCTAACTCCACTGAAAATTATGATATGAACACCATAGTTTCAAATATATGAACTAAAACAGTGGTTTTCAGGGTTGCGTTTGTAGATAGACAGAAAACTGATGCCAATGGTATGGTGCATTAGCAGTTGGCATATTTGAACGAGTACATTTAGAAAATCCATGGGCAACGCAAATTGAACGTATGAAGTCAACGGTATGGGACAAAAGAAGGCGAGCGGAGTGAGAGACATGTCGCGAAATAAGCCTGAAATCAAACCTAAATCCTGGAATTCAATCAAATCTTCTATCAGCTCACTCGAAAATGAGATTAGAAAAGTTTCTGAGTGATCCATAGCGTCACAAGAGCGTAATAATAATAATAGTAGTAATAAAGGTAATAATTATCTTGCCATTCTATTCATTTGATTTCCAACTTGGTTTAAAGCCAGTATTTATTAAAGAAGCCACAGTCAATGAAAGAAATTAGGGTATAGATGCTGGAGTTAAAACAAACGAATTGCGAGACAGTAGGTGGACAGCTTATACCGATCGAGCACCATCAGCCAAGGTCAAATGCTTGTGAACACACTTACAAATACGAGTTGTGCTCTGTAGCGCACGGAAAATGCGAAATCGCCTGCATAAATGTCCACCAGCAAACCGATTAGTTCATCCTTACTCATACTGGTTCATTCTGGTTCCTCTCCTCAATTGGGTCCATGAATGAATGCATACAAATGGTGATACACAATAAGGGTGAATTAAGCCCACAGTGATTTGCATCTTTTCAGTTCAGATTAATTTAATTTTTGTGTAAGAAAGCATACATTTTATAAGGCATTGTTTTGTGAAGTCGATTGGCGTAGTATATATATGCTCTCTTGTATGGTGCGATTGCTTCATCGTTTCCCATTGTCTTGTTCGTATCCATTCAAATTCCCTCTCGTCCTCTCTGCGATCCGATTGAATCATTTTGTGCGATTTGCGCAAATTGGAGTCCCTCAACCTGAATGTATGTGATGTTCTTGTTGTCACCCGTAGTCCGGCCGTGTGATATCGGAACCCATGATGTGCACAGTCTAAGTTCACTGGTTACGCTAAAGATTCGCGGTTGTGGACTCGGGTTAGTTGGGCAAGCATTACGTCCCGTATTGCAGCTGAACCATTCGATAAAGAAACCCGTTCAATCGCGGGGTTGTCGGGCCGGCATAAGGGGAGAATAAGTTATGAAACGGATACTACTTAAATGTTAGTAGAGAATCACAGGAGAGTCATTTGTGGAGCAATGCTCCATCTGGGAAGATCAAAATTTTGAACATCGTTTCGACAGTTTACATCACACCTCCAAGACCATGGAGGACGTTAGTCATGACTCCAGCGGGTGTCTCCTCTAGAGATGAGGCACTCAAGGATATCATACCTGAGGAAATTGAGCTTGAACTGAGGGAGGCAGAACTTCGAAAACGTAAGCTACAAATCCTACAGCGTTGCGATCTCAACATGTACATCCCATCTGAGAACCCGATTCAGGACGATGATTCCCCTAGCAATCACGGTCATATGTCGAGTTTCAATTTTGATGACGTGATAAGGACCTCGCGTGGCGACCTACACGCTGCTGAAAATCGAGATAGATAAATTCGCTGGATCAACCACTGAGTTCTAGAGCTCAATGAACAGCTTTGCGATAAGTATAGCTGATTGGGTCTAGGATGGCCAGCAACGTTCCATGTATCTGATTCTTTGTTGTTGCGGGGCCGCAAAAGAATCTATCCTCTACTTCATTTTTGCTCCCCGGCCGTTGGGGATACGCTAAAGCCATGGGCATTCTCAGGTTTCAGTTTGGATGACCTTTTAGTCAAAACTTCTTAGTGGTGATAGTATAGCCAGCGATGGTATGGCATATGATTAGCAATGGATTAGTTCTATCTCAAATGAATTATACTGTAGATCTGAACTGTTCGACCAACATCAGGCGCATCGATCAAAGGCTGCCGCGGCACATTCAGCTCAAATGGGCGAAGATAGCACATAATCTCCTGCACGGTGGGTTTGAACCAACACTCAGAAAACTCATCGATGTTTTGCTAAAACTCCTTTCAGGTTTGTCCAACTGTTGTGGACAAGGTGCCGGTAGTAGTAAGAAGATATCTGTCGTTCGAGAGGGAATAACCCACCCAATGTCGAAGTCATCTCGCTACTCTGTCAACACGATCGCGCATTTTAAAATACTGGCTTTTCCAGTATGCCCAGAAACCCATCAAGTGGCCACGTGTAGAGAATTTACCAGCACGTCATACAGCAATAAAACACAAATGTTCCACAAAGACAGGCTGAGTTTCAACTGCTTCAAACCCAACCATCCAACGATTGACTGCCGAGTTACCACCCAATGCAAAGAAGGCCAATGTGGTCGAAATCATCACGGATTGATTAATGAGCCCCGAACCGAGCAACTTTCTCGTTCACCCAATATTCACATAAATTCAAACAGCGTGGGCGAGTCAGATTCCCATCTCGGGTTCGTTCCAGATCGTGTAGTGGCTCCAAGGGGAAATCTCGAAAAGTTTGCATATATATATGTGTGCGTGTGTGCGTGTGTGTGTGTGTGTGTGTGAGTGTGCGTGAGTGTGAATGGGGAAAGTAGTGATGATCGAGTCTAGCACCAGGTTTATTGATATTACATAGCAAATTGATTTGCACATACACAGGCGGATGAAATACACCGATCAGTGATTGATTCACATTACGCACATATTTCACAACAAAGGGAATACGCAAGCACACAACTTTTTCACAAATTTCATTTGTTGACGCAGTAGAAGAGTACTTCTTGGAGGAAAACAAGATTGCTAAGATGTTTCCTGTTGTCATCGTACGCAATCCAGTCCGGTGGAAACAGCTGTATAGTGCTTCATAGTTTTCCGATTCATGCTTCAGCTGATTGATCGTGTTTTACTTTGAAAACAAATTACACAAAACGACGAGGCAGCAAACTAATCATTCACAATATTCTCAAACTAACCTTACCAGCATTTCGGACTGCATTTGCACCCTAAGGGAAAAGTTGTCATAAACACTGTTTTTGTTTATTATGTTCTGTCTATGCACCTGTTCGATGGCGCGTAGTACTATTCAAAATAAAGTAATTGTTAAGGAATGGTAACAATTAGGCACAGTTATGCGTACGTTACTGAAAAGGATTTGAGTAGTTAAAGACTAAAGTACGAAAATAATGTACTGGCCATCTCAATAACACCAGCAAAAGGGGAAAACACGATCGAGCACTATCGTAAACTTAAATTCTTTCCAGTAATCACCACTATGGGTTCTTTTCTGCTCCCAATTGCACTTTCCCCACTGTTCCATCCTCCATCGTCGCTTAACCTCAAAATACTCTGTTAGATAATTACGAATGAAATCTGTGATATACGATAAAATTTCGCTCAAAATCTTGAGGATATCTACAAGAAAGGCATGTGTACTGTAGAAGCCAGGTAAATCACTGTAGGTGGAAGCAAGTTTAAGGGAAGTGAAAACTAATTTAAATCCTCAAAATGCAAATCAAAAGGGATTACAGGATTCACACTTACTTATTAATGTTGTCATTCAAATGTGATGGAAATGTTTATGATAACCAACAAAGAGCACTGGACAGCTGTTTCGTCCTGTTTCGGACTCGTCACAGTACGTATTTTTTTGTGTCCCTGTCAGGACTCGAACCGCGATAAGTCGGGTCGGGACTTCGAACCCTTACCCCTGAGCTACACGAATGGCTCAATCAATTTAGAGTGTAAAGCTTGGATTAGCCCATTCTATTGTTCAGAGGCATCAGGCACTAGTGATGGTCTTCGATGTGGGTTTCACTCCTTGGGAGATCGTTAATTCCCCACGAGATAATGCATTCAAATGCGATGGAAATGTTTATGAACAATCGAATGGGCTAATCTAAGCTCGATACTCTAAATTGTTGTCATTATTATTAATTTTGACCAACTACAGAATAGAACAGAAATATTCTCTAATTTAACCATAGTGATTATTCAGTAATTTGCTTCCACACTGGTAAACAAGAGCTAACTAATCTGGTCTATCCAGGATTTTAACCAAATTTCTTCATGTTGGTTCATGGGAGTAAATTGTTTCATGAAGGAACATTGTGCGGATATGGATACCATTGATTGCATTGTTCAAAATTATGACAACCTGAAATCCAATTGATGCACAAAGTAGACAATTAAATCCTTTTATTAGTTCTTCTTGCATTAGAATGAACTCGAGATGTGAGTTTGCCCATAAATTTACAATCTAGCCAAGTGCTGTTTTTTCACTTATGTTACTTGCAGATTTAACTCCTGTGTTGTTTAGTAATCTCGGTGGGATTCGAACCTACGCATAGACGCCGTCTGCGCTTTTGTACAACGCACGTTCTGCCAGATGAGCTATGAATTCACACCGAGAGCGCTGATCTTTTCACTAGTATAGGCAACGGCCACGTGCGGGTTACATCCCACTGACGCTAATGAACTTTTCACAATTCAAACATAAGTGTTGCTTGACAAAGGAGTTTAAGTCACAGATTTTTGCCCAGTCTTGCGTTTCATTTTTCCTATTTTGAAACTCATTATACAAAAAATTAACAACAACAACGTAAGCCCGGTAATATTGCACCTAATAATTGTAGAAATGCACGAAATGTCCTATGTACAGGCGAGTTGGTATGAAAGTCCCTCAAGTCCAAACGGCGCACACACTATATAATCTTGTTAAACAGTCCGTTGTAATTTGTAATGAGAAAAATGCCAGAAATCCATGTTCTGGGGGAAATTTGACAAAAACGGTTTCTCATTTCAGCTAAAGCATGCATTGCGCTCGAATTCGAGTAACTAGCTGGCGGTGACTATGATTCTGTTCTTATTTTAGGTTGCGATCTAACAGAGACACGGTTGACCTGGATCGATTTGATACCTTACAGGACGATCTACACCACACGATACGATACAGACACAACACAGATACAAATAACACAACTGCCCAAACATGCAACCGGTCCTCAGGGGGAATGATTTGCATGTGCGGTTGCTTAGACGTGGGAGAGGATGGTTGTATGTTTATATAAGAGGGAGCTAAAAATAACACAAGGAGATGAGATATATGACAATCAGCTTTCACATTTCAGTGGAGTGAGAAAACCGAAACAAAATAGATAAAGATGAAGGCAGCAAAATATACTTACGTGCTGAACGATGACACTCAATCTCGAAGAGACTGATCAGAATGGATGAATTGAGAGATTGTGGATCCTGAATTTGGATGTTAAAACATCTGAAATGGCAAAATGCTTAGTTACATTACATTAAATCCAAATTCAAGTTTAAATGATAGGCAATATACCAGGATGAAGCTTATTGAAACCCACAGAATCTGTACACACACTGGGTTCGCATTATAGCACAAATGAAGTGACAGTAAAACATTTATAACACAATTTCAGGCGAACAATGGTTTTCACTAACTCGTAATCATGCCATCACAGTTTATATGAGGGGAAAAACCTAGGGGTTGGAAGGAGAACAATAAAATGTGAGGGATCGTTCAATTCGTGTATGCGTGTCTCTCCATGTGTGTTATATGTTTAATACAAATAGCTTCGGCAATGGTCAACGTACGCATTCTAACAAATTTAGACCGGTTCAGGGGAACCTGATAAATAATGCGGATTGCTTCACTTGGGTCAAAACGATGGCCAGTGTCTATCAAGTTGGCGAGAATCGCACTTGTCATAGATCCGGAATAACATTGACTCAGTCATCTCAGATTGTGTTCTTTCATGAGGACAGATATCTGCTGTGGTACTCACGGGTGCCAGATAACAGAAAATAAGTGGTATATTTAAAGAATAACTTATTACATGGTTAGTTTTTGACCGAATTTCAATTCTTCTATTTTTGCAAGTCAAAGAATAGAGTATGTTTATATATGTTTTGCTTGATTCTGATGCAAAAATCGATTTTCGAATGAAACAAAACAAATAAGAATTTTAAAGTTAATGGTTTTCATTGTACTGTTTTCATTGTATTTCTACAGGATATAACTGATGGTCGACTGTGATGAAAACTTGAGTTTCACGTTCACGATATGGAGGAAATCTCATATCTGGACAGAGGAGAGTACCGCTGGGATAGCCGGGGTTTGAAGTCCGAGCGGCACAGAACTGAAACACGCAGTTTGCCAAGAACAGTGATGGCACTTTCAAAGTTCCCTACAGTTCAATACTTCACATGCTAACCTTCTCCCCGACAGACTACACTTCTCATTCGTGGTTATGGAAGAAAAAGGAAAACGCGCATGTGAAGCAGGAACGGGAGCGGGGGTGGGTGAGTGGTCGATGATGAGGAAAATCTCAAGAAAAGCAATAGATTGCCACCAAAATGTGCATAATATCAGTTTGGGATATGTGAGCTCTGTTGTCTAATTGCTCATTTGGTCAGGTGATCACTTTTTCCTACCCTTGATTATAGCCCAAAAAATCTATTCCAGCTTTTGTTCTCAAAGATTGAATAACCACTGATAGTTGTAATAATTGATCCTCACCAACTACTCTTCCAATAGCTCTGAGATGAGAATACTGATGACAA